TGCGTGTGTCTTTCTGCATGTGTGCTGATCCCCTTAAGGGAAATCTCTGTTTTATAAAATTCCTTCAATGCAATGAAAAAACTAAAAATGCTTGTACTCTAGTATTTTGTTATGGTTAGGGCTGCGTTGGGGTTGAGGGTGTTATAGTTAGCATTAGCATTTTTCCCATAGAAATGAATGAGCGGTCCCCACAAAGATATGATTACACAACTGTGTGTGTGTGTGTGCACTGAAGAGTGTTGGTTCTTACTGACTTAGGGGAAGATGATCAATTAAAGAGAAATGGACATCTTCCATCAGCTGCTTGGGTTGGCCAGTCAGAGCAGCACCACATGGCAGTGGTGTGACGGTCACATGACGTCTGGACTGAGAAGTACACAGTCTTGCTCCATCTTCGGAAGTGTGGGGAAGTGGCCTGGCAGAGCGTCCCGTCTCCCCGACTCTCCCATGAGTGACCTGTGGGCATCTCGCCCTCGGTGTCCGGCCCGCCTGGATAGGTCCGCGTTTCCATGCGTGGCCTCATGGAGGTGTCCGGTGTACCGGAAGCTTCTCTGTACCTACCACACTGCCTCCTGCCCACCTGGCCCTTGCTGACCCCGCCTTCTGGCCTCGCTCGCCTCTCACCCACCGCGTTCCCCCGTCACCCGGCTCCAGCTGCTAGGCAACCGTCTGCGGTGTGAGTCGGTTTGTTTTTTCATGAGCTATTAATGCAAAAAGGCCGAATCTCGCGCTGCTGCTATTTTTACCCTCCCAGCAGCCGCCGGGTCACTGAGCACATCCAGAGTACGGCGGAGGCCGTCCAAGCGGGACGGTGGGGGTGGAGCCCTGATCCCGTGGGGCAGCTGTGCTTTTCCTCCTCGGGAGGGGGGAGTGCATGAGGAGGCCTTCAGAAAGCTGGGATGAGTCCCGATAAGGACTTGTTACTTATTTATCGTTAATTACAAAATGGTCTTTCTTCTAGAGGATTAGATTTAAACGTTGTGCAGTGTCAGATTCAGATGGGTTCTATGTCGACGGTTTACTTTGGACTTAAAAATAAAAGCCGTCTGCTTTTACGTGGCCGACGGTGCCGCAGAGCAGCGAAGGGGTGGCTGTGAATTCCTGGAATCTTCTGCAGCGCGTGCAGGATAAAGGCCTCGTGACCCACGTGGTCAGGCTGACGTGCGTCCCGCTCATCCGGGGCAGATCCATCTCGATTCCGATCAGTCTGCCTCGTGATCCCATTACTCGGCTAGGGGGTGTCAGGTGCACCGACGCCATCCAGCCAGCGGGGGAAGTAATTGAGTTTCCACTTGCAATCTGGGGGGAGGGGGGGGGCGTCTCAGAGGAGCTCGACGCCATGACGTGTAGCCGGGCCGCGCCGGTCCCTTGCCGTGTAATCGCTAATTTCTGCACCCGCTTAATAAAGCTGTAATTATTATTCCAGCAAACGCACAATTAGGGGCTGCGTGTGTCAATTCGTCGGCGTGTCCCCTGCATGGCCGAAATGCTCTTTTTGTTCCAAACATGCCGTTTTTGTTCCCCCCGTTACAGTGTGTGCTTCTGCCTGATTGCCGCCTCCCCTAGGTCAGTGAGGTTTTTTTTAGAGCGGTTTTAATGATGTTTGTTGACGTTTTGCAGCAAGCTTCCAAGCTGGGCACGTGCATTGGTACCTCGGATCTTCTACATCACGGAAAAAGCCTGGAATTATTATCCGTACACGATCACAGGTAAATCACTGGTACCTGCTTCATTACGTATCTGGATTACATCTCTCTGTATCCGAAGCGGTCTCTGTTTCTACCTGCCGGGGGTTTTACTGCAGTAAATCCAGGTTAAGTACCATTCCCAGTGGCACAACATTAGGGCCGCTCCTGTATCAGGAGAAGGATGTAGTTTAGTAAGTCATTGTTTTGAAGACCATGCTAGTAGGTTTGCAAAGCTAAATTTCCCAAAATTTTCCATAAACTTTCCATTCCATGGGAAGTTAAGCTGGGCAATTTTGGAAATATTCCAAGTTGGAAAAATTCCACGGCAATTACCAGGAATATATGGGAAAAGTAAACTGATTTAGTTATCAGTGATGAGAAGATGTAATTATGTGGTTCATGTCCTTCTTGTTTGATGTTATTTCTGTCCATGCTGTGTTAGATGGTAGAGTTTATAATCCTCACGGTAGCCCTGCTATTTGCACAGCTGAAGGTGTTTAATTATCTGGGTTTAATTGTCCATTTTATATCCCTCTTTTGTCCTATCATGCATTCCCGGGATTCGGCATGATTGCAGAGTACACAGTAAGTTTCAGTTCTTCCTTTTTTAACCGCCTTTATTTGTATTTTAGCTAAGTGTGAAAAGCTCTTCCTTCCTTTGCCAGATGCCTTTGTTGCCGTAGGAACGGGAACTAGGCAAGGCCGCCGTACTGAATCGGTGTCTGCAAACTCTGCGATGCTTAGAAATCGCTGTGCAGTCAATAAACGGGGGAGCTTTTGCTGACCTTCATGCTGCTTTTTTTTTCCCCCTCACATTTTTGCTTAGACTGGCTATTAATGTGCAGCAATTTCATCTCTCTCTCAATTTTCAGTGTTCGTTTTTGCCAAAGTTCTCCATCCACATAGAGACGAAATACGAAGATAACTGTGGAAGCAGTGAAAACGTGAGCAAACGGCGCTCAATTAGGCTTTGCCTCGCATGCAGAGACGAAACCCCTGTGCTCCCTACCAGGAGCACATTTAGATTGACTTGTGAAGCCTTTCACTGTAGTTCCTGGTGCTGGACGCTCACAGCCATTTCCCTACAGATATTCGGCCAGGAGAAGTCCGGTTGTGACCTGGAGGTGGATTTCCTGGACATAGCTCACGATAAGATTCCTGAGAGACACTACGAGAGCTCAGAGGTACAGGCTGGGCGTTTCTGTATCTTCAAACACCGCCGTGCTCCGCCGATGCTTTGCTTCACTGTCTGTGTCGCGATATTGTGGTTCCTACGGAAACGTCTAGAAAGCTCCCGTCACCCTCTGTTACGTCAACGTGTCCCAGAGAGAGTCCCTGAGGAGACTCATTCTGCCGATTTTACTCTGGGTGGCATAAGTGAAATCTGATTTAACCCGGCGCCGGTCGGCCAAACTCAGGCGTATACGGACGTAATCGGAGTGATGTGTCATGCTCGCTTTGGGGGGGGGGGGCATCAGCCGTGGGGTCAGTTGCCGCCTCCCCAACTGTGTCCCACAAATACCTCTTACTGCCCATCCCAGAGTGGTCTTATCGTCCCATAAATCTGTAAATGGCGCAGAAGAGTGTCTCAAAAGTGCACATTACATGGGCTTATTTTCCTAATTTTTTGAAGTTCGCAAGCTTTCATATATTAGTCTCATTAGCACCGAACGCTATTCTGTAGTATAGTGTAGTATAGTATAGTGTAGACACACTCATTTAGACCCATACTATGCTCTTCAGTGCGGTTAGCACTCTGAGCTAACTGTTGGGTTTATGATCTTCAGTAGGAAGTAGAACTGATGTCTCTGAGCTTCTCTCTGATCCATGACTGATGTTAAGGATATTGAAAGATATTCAATTTTATATGCGCTGTCACATGACTGTACAGAGCAGACAGACCACTCAGGGGTCCTGTCTGATCACATTAGATCGAAAGTGGACCAAAGGGGATCTTTTAGTTAGGAGCCAGGAATTAATCGTTTCCTGTCTGACCTCACAACCCCGGGGTGCTGCAACCACGTGCAGAGGAGGTCTCACTGGAGTGAATAAGTGGAGATGTTTCAGGCCACCCCTGAGAAGGTCCTACTGGGATTTCTTTGATATTTCTGCTAGTAGGTCCTTCAAGGACAGTCTGATGTGTCCTGGATAGTGTAGTCTGTTTTAAGCGGCACACTTCCATCTCAGAGTGAGCAGCATTGGCCGGGCCGTGGTGCTGAGCCATTTCATTTTGGGTGACTGCTGTGTCCCTGTTTCCCCAGGATCTAAGGTGCTTTTCCTCCACCAAAACGGGCAGGGGTCCCCTGAAAGAGGACTGGAAGGAGACCAGCCAGCCTATCATGTGCTCCTACAAACTGGTCGGGGTCAAGTTTGAGGTGTGGGGGCTTCAGACCAGAGTGGAGCAGTTTGTACATAAGGTATATTGCCCCCACACCCCCCATGTCCCATCACGGGTCTGCAGCACAGGTGTGATGCTCATCTTGATGTAGATGGAGCTAGGGCACATGGCCCAAGATCTCAGTGCAAAAGCTTTGAAGTTCATAATGGATGTTGAGCGATTTTTCTAGAACGAGCTGTCGGGATAAATGATCACAGTGTCTGCCATCCTTATTGGGGGGGCTGGTGGTGCGGGGGGTGGGGGAGAGAGACTGCAGCCACCAACGAGAACCCTGAAACATGGAGATCGGTTTTTCTGATCATCACCACAGCCTATGCTGTCTCCCTGCCCCCCCCCCCAAAACCCTTACAAAAATCCACTGCAACCATGTGGGTGTTCGAACATAAGGAGAGTTAGGGTGGGAAAAAGAGCTGGGGTGGGCGGGATACTTCTTCCCATGAGCCTCATCTCGAAATAGAAATCTCCGCTCCGAGGTCATCGCATCACCGCGGCGTAATGAGCTCGGAGCTCAGCGCCTCAAGGTGTGAACGCGATGCTATTTTTAGCTCTCCTCCACCTCTCCCCTTCCCCCCCTCGCACCCTGGGACCGGCTCTGCCTGTCTTCAGAACTGTGGCTGAACCAGGTGGCATCACAAGGGAATCTTACTGAAAAGAATCCCGCTACCAGCAGTGGGCTCGACTGTGGGGACATTTTGGGGAGGCTGCCCGCGTCATCCTCTTTGTGAGCCGTCCCCCGGGGGGTTTTCGGACATAAGTTTCAATTTCACGGCACTCGCCCAAACACTCATCCTTAAAACCAGGAGCTTCGTGCCTATAGCGATAGCGCTGTAAAACAGGAGCGTGATGCTTACAGCAAAAGAGCTGTAAAACAGGAGCGTGATGCTAATAGCGATAGCGCTGTAAAACAGGAGCGTGATGCTAATAGCGATAGCGCTGCAAAACAGGAGCGTGATGCTAACCGTACATTCACACCACGGATGGCGAAAGCATCAAAGCAACCAGGAGTCATTCATTCTCCACGGGAGGGCGCGTCGGCAGGCGGCAAGGAGCGGAGCGGCACGTTGCATCGCGATTCGGGCAGGGAGAGCATCAAAATTCGGTTGAAGCCTGGTCAAATTTATGGTAATGAGCTATGATGCGGTTCGGTGGCGACCAATCGGAATGTAGAGATGCCCCGCTAAAGAGAGCTCCACAGAACACAAGCGTGTAAACATTTGTTCTGACTAAACAGTTCCCAAGCACCATCGGGGTATAAACCGTAAGACCAGAATACGTTTCATGAACGTACGGTAATAGCGTAACGCTAATAGCGATAGCGCTGCAAAACAGACGCAAACGCCCCACCTTTCCCAGAAGTTCCAGGAGGTTCCCACAAATTCACAGAAGCATGTGGGTCTTGTTTATGAAGCCACCTGTCTGTCTAAAGCTGCTTTTGGTTGTTGTTGACTGCTGCGGGCCCCTTGGAGAGGCTCTAGTAATGAGACATGATGGGTCCCGCATAGGCCGCGGTAGCAGCTACGCTTCCCCTCTGCTGGGCGCGCATGTGGCTTTCAGGGTGTCATTCTGCAGAAAGCACTGCTAATGGTAGCCACAGCGTCGATACGGGATGTTAGCTTTAAATGCCAAGACTGCAGAAGTGCTTGAACGGCCCCTCGGGACCACTCAACTCCGCTAATAGCCCGGCTTGTTTGTTAGCAATTAGCTACTACCTGTCAGCCAGTGACCTCCATGCCGGCCTTAGACATTCCCGCAGGAGCCGTCCTCATGGAGTCTGTCTCTGTCCCTCAGGTGATCAGAGACATCTTGCTGGTGGGCCACAGACAGGCGTTTGCGTGGGTCGATGAGTGGTACGGTAAGTGGCGGCTCTGAGCTTTCCCTACCTTCCCCATCCCAAGCCTTAGTTAGCATTTGTTCTTTGACCTTCAATATTAGCTCAGACTGCAGATCAGCCCTCCTGCCTGCCTCCCAGAGTTTCTTCTGCTAGGTTTAACCTTGCTTAATGAATCTAGTTCAGTTTTTAATCTTTAATCTATATTTCTGTGTGGCAGCAATTAGCAGGGATCCATCAAATCGTATATATTTCCACGGCCATTTTATTTGAAAGTCAACTTTCTGGGATATTTTGCTACAAACAAACTGAGCAACGCATGTTCTCTTTAACCTGATACAGGTGTTCTTGACACTCATTTTATTATTAATGTTTACCTGTTGCCACCCCTGTCATAAATTCCAAGCAAATCCCTTCTCCTTGAACCTCGTAACAGGTCCTTGGGAACCCCCAGACAGTCCACAGTTTTACAGACATGTGGACGGTCTGGCAGGGAGCTGGGAGGGAGCAATGACTGTGCGGAGGTCCCTGAGGATTGGGTTGAGAAACACTGTTGTAGGACACTGAGTTCTAATGTGACTTACCCACAATGCCCTGCGTAGTCTGGATGGAGACGCAGCTTGGAGACTCTTCGCCCTCAGACACGCTCTAACACTTTTGTTTCAGCTCCTCGAATTGATCACTCCGCACTTTTCTCACTAACAGCTCTGCTGCAATCACTGGCTGACACCCTCTGATTCGTCTTCCAGATGTTTCAGTTGCAACTAACATGCATCTTTTAATGCGGCAGGTTTGGTCTCCTCCCCACCACCAGTGGCCCTCGCCAGCACCACAGTTGCTTGCTTCGTAATAAATAGCAAGAATGTGATTGGAGCCAAATGCCTGATTCTGCTAGTGTTTCAGGAATGGCTTGTTTTTGGTGATTACCTCGGTTCTTACCACTGCGGTAAAGTCCTTGCCTCTTATCCCTATGGAGGAGAGAATGAGGAGGTGCCGGCATGTGGCTCACAGGGTTAGGACTCTGTACCTGTGATTGCAAGGTTGCTGGTTCAAATCTCAGCGTCAGCAGAACGTTTTCACCATCGAGCCCCAAGCAAGGCCCTTAAACCATAATTGCTCTATGGCCTGTCTGCCCCCGTTTTCTCAAAAAAAAAAAAGAGTCGCTCTGGATTTAAAAGCATCTGCTAAATAAATAAAAATGCAGAAGATGCCTGGATCACATGGTAGAGCGTGGGGTAGAAGCCTCAGTCTGTTCACGGTTCTGTCAGCCTGATATTTTCGGTGCTTCAAGCCGGGCTCGTCGCCCGGAGGCTGCTTCGAAATAGCGCCGAGGTGAGAAACGTGCGAGAACGTGGTGGTTATAGGCGGGAAATGCAGCAGGTGGCGATACGGTTAAAGGCTGTGTCTCGTGACCGGTTCCGTAGCTACAAAAAAAAAAATGCTTTGGACCTGCTGGACTGGGTGACAGGCGAGCATCAGTGTATCAGCCGCTCTGAGTAACGGCAGTCGCTAGAGAGCGTCTCTAAACAAAATAGTGCTATTGGGAGTGTCCTCGTCTTTCTCCAGCAATTACCGCGACCCCTGAATGACTCCTACCACCCCAGTCACATCAGGCCCTGATCTCGCGGCGCATACCTTCCTGAAACCAGCCGTCAGCGTGATTTAAGCTCACCGTTCCCTGTGGGAGGACAGCTCAGCTCCGTAAGGCGGCTTCAGAATGCAGACCGGCTGGATTTGCACCCTCTGCAAATATCAATTTGGTGTTTTCTTTGCTGAGGACGGCTCCTTTGTGCAGTTTCTGGCCGATTTACCTCGTTAACGTCCTCTTCCTTTTCGGGGGGGGGGGGGCCCGTCATGTATGTGATGGAATTTTTAAATGAGATTTAAACAAGCTTCCAAATAATCCAGGCGTATTGGCATGAATGCGGGGTCTTCCTAGATGCTCAGTCTGATTTTTGTAGGAAATTGCAGGAAGCGTCCTGTGCATGTTTCATAACGACGAAAAGTGGTGTTGATTGTACAGCGTTGCAGTACGCCTTAGGACGCAGGGAAGAAGACCAAGCCAAGGACCGGGCTGCACATCCTGGATGGATGGACAGATTGTTATTAATGAAGGAAATTGCATGTGTGTTGTAGCACAACACGTACATTTAGATGGTAAAAAAAAAAAACGACAAAAAACAATATCAGAAATGGCTGAGAAATTAATGCCCAGAATTTCGTAGTGACAGCTCAGAAATAGATAGCGTGAGATGAATATTCTGTGGAAGTGGTTCTGGTCCATTCAGACACTTGGGTGCCTCGCTGTGGAATCTAATGGCCACGAGTGGGAGAAACGTTTAGTGCTTTTTTGGAGAAGCGCAGCTGTCTGTTGCTGGAAGTGCTCCACAGCTACAGAATGCACTGCTGTACACACCTCTGGTGGATTGTATATCTGCCGTGATGGGCCCCCTTTTATTGCTCCCTAGGTCTGATTTAAATCTTGTTCTGTGTTGTAAGAGCTTGTGTGCAAGATGACAGGGCTTAGATCTGTGATCTGATTTCAGTCTTCCTCTTTGTCTTGCCTCTGTCTGTAGCTTTGCGCCTTTGATTAACCCCCTTCCCGCGCTGCTTCTTTAACTAGCCCCGCCCCTGCAGCTAGCCCCGCCCTCAGCCGCCGCCCACCTGTCTGGTCACATGACCCGCTCCCTTCTCTCCACAGCAATGACGCTGGAGGATGTGCGTAACTTTGAGACTCAGATGCACAAGGCCACCAACCAAAAGCTCGGCCGGCTTGAGATGTAGCCCCCCCCCACCGCACATGTATGTGTCGTCCTCGCCCGTTATTTGCCTCCTTTACCCACAGTTTGCCCAGCCTCTCGTTTTCAGGTACCCGCTGCTCGCGTTTCTTGCAGGTGCGAATCCGGCGTTTGTGCTGCTTATTAAAGCGCTCGCTGAAGTTTGTCAAGATAAAAGCCTGGAATGTCGAGCCTATAGTGCCCCCTTCAGTACACCAGGGACATTTTCCCCTAGAAATTGTGCTTCCAGTGCTATGCCTGTTTATTTTTTCAGGACTGTATATTCTGTATAAGGTCTTACATTACCAAATAGCGACGACTGTGCTAGTTCTGATTACCGTGTTTCGTGTGACGGTGCCTTTCCGGTGTGGTCAGACATGTCGATGGACGAGGTGCGGCAGTATGAGCGGGAGACGCAGGAAGCCACCAACGAGAAGGTGGGCCTCGTCACCCCAGCCATCGCCGTCCACGAGGTGCCCCGCGCCCCTGCCACCCGCAGCGCCCCCGCCAGCACCCCCTCCACGCCCGTCAACGGAGACCCACCTGACTTCCTGGCTGTGCCCCGGGAGCGGCCCCGCAAGAAATCCGCCCCCGAGACCCTGACCCTCCCTGAACTACAGGGGCTCTCCGCCCACAAATAACCCCCAACCCCAAACGGCAAACCCTATAGGGTACAAAGCTGGAGCTAGCTAATCATGTGACTGTTGTGGATGACACACTGTAGAAGTTTAACAAGCTGCATTCATCGCCAGAAGGTGATGGGTTCGCAACCCACGAGGGGTGTTTCAGGGGTCTGTAGGTCAATGGCTCCTATGTAGATTAAATATCTAGCTGTAAAAATATGTACAATATGAACTAGGTGAATTTAAGCCTCTTTGGGTGTGTAATTTTAATAGCTTTGTCTTTGTAGCGTCCGCCCCCCCCTCACAGAATGTTTTTGTGTTGTGCTTCTTGTGAATCTGTGTGCATGTCTATGCTGTTGGGTTTTAGCTTCTCTTGGACTATCGGCGTGTTTGGTTCTGTTGCGGTAGCAGGTTGTGAGCTGTTCTCAGTTTTTACACGGGGGCCAGAATTTCTAACAATGAGCCAGTTTCAGGCATCTGCCTGCCAGTTGACGTCAGGCCTGATAAGGTCCCATATCAGTGTTGCCAGTTGAGTTTAATTCCTGCTTCAAGTTCCCATTTCCTGAGCTGGTAATCCCCTGCAGAGGGTGTTTCCTGGCATCACCGCCTCCGTGTTTTTGTTTATCGTGGAATTGTCTCATGCAAAAGGCAGATGCACGACTCGCCCAGAACATGATTATGCAGTAAATTTTTCCAGATGCCGTCATGAGTCTCTGAGAATATTTTTGAACTACAATGTTATGCAATCGATTAAAAATGTTTTAAACCCTCCCCTAGTCTTCCGTGTCGTCACGCCAGATATCTTATGAATTAAGAGATGTACGTGTCTCAGAAATAAACTGAGGGACAGTGATGTTTGCGCTTTGTTTTGTATCGAAATTCTGAATGACATTCTTATCTGAAGCAAACATTTCCAGGTTTTCTTAAAAATATCATGTCAATTCAGCCTACAGGCATTGCATCATAAGGGTGAATTACATCACAGTGACACAACTGCATCACTTTCGTGAGTTTGCTGTCTGTCCATGTGCACAAGCCATCAAGTTTTCGTTCGCAAATATAGCGACAGCATTATGGGTCTGTTCACCACTCTGCCTTAAACAGGGAGTCCTTTGCTAGGGTTGGCTCATGTTTTAAATGGAATAGATGATAGAGCAGCCAGGCAAACAGGTGACGTCCATGTATGATCTGTGTATGTATAATAAACATTGTAAATACAGTGCCTGTAGGAACGCGTTTTTAGGTATACTCGGGCATGTTGTGCTCTTCACCACAAGGGGTCAGCAGAGTTCCGATGGGCACGCTGCTAGCGCTGGATCGCGATTGCTAAAGGCACCGCACTTCTGATTTGGACAGTACAGATGTGTAATTCAGAGGTGATTCATTTAAATGGCAATACGCTATAATCTGGAGCATCAGCCTGCATTTTGTGTGTGTGTGAGACACGAGTGCTGCTAAAATCATTCCTTCATCCACTCCATTCCGCATCTCCGCTCCTTTCTGTGCCATGCAGTGCACAGATCACGCGGCCTGTGAAATGAAAGAGTGACTGCAGACCCTGACGTTACAGAAGCCAGTGTGACACACATACAGTATCACCTTCATAAGCACTGCATGACCATTCAGTAAGTCACGGCAACAGCCTTACATAATGGCTGCATGACCTTTTCAAAATCAATGAATTACACTTTTATTAATGCATAAGGTCCTGTGTAAAACCCATTATCTAAGAGTTTACTTGTTAATTTTGACCTACATCACCTCTCCTTGGCACCAGTGTGATGGGGGAGGGGGGTGTTTCAGCAGTATGACATTGTAAAACAGAGTTTTCTAAAGCAACATACAATTGAGAAGACAGGGTCAGTCAGTTCCTGCAGCAGATGGGGTTAGAAACTTTCCTCAAGAGCCTGACGGTTGCATCACTGGCAACACTGGGATCTGAACTTGCAATCTTCAGTCACAAGTACAGCAGCTTAACCTGCTGAACTGCGTAGCACCCCGTTGCACTAATTGATGAAACTCCTCTGTACCAAGAAGCTCTTGTGTAAGCGAGCGAGAGAGAGAGAGAGCAGACATTAGCAGAGTAGGAATGTCTGTGATCCCGCAGGATGGCTCACAGATCATGAGATCAGTTAGGATGCTGAGACACCTAACTGAGGAGTGACAGCATAGGCATGGTTCCAGTATTGGTGGGAAGCAAAATCAGCCCTGAACCCCCCTAAATACTCCCAGTAACCCCACAATACTGGTATGGACACGTCCCTGGCATCCATACCTAAATCCAAAGCGGTAGCCAAAAGTTTTGAGAATGACACAAATATTAATTTTCACAAAGTCTGCTGCCTCGGTTTTTATGATGCCAATTTGCATAAACTCCAGAATGTTATGAAGAGTGATCAGATGAATTGCAATTAATTGCAAAGTCAATCTTTGCCATGAAAATGAACTTAATCCCAAAAAAAAAAACATTTCCACTGCATTTCAGCCCTGCCACAAAAGACCTGCTGACATAATTTCAGTGATTCTCTTGTTGATATATAAGTAAGAGTGTTGAGGAGCAGAAGGCTGGAGATCACTTTGCCATGCTGATTGAGTAAGAATATCAGACTGGATGCTTTAAAAGGAGGGTGGTGCTTGAAATCATTGTCCTTCCTCTGGTAACCATGGTTACCTGCATGGAAACATGTGCATCATTGCTTTGCACAAAAAGGACTTCAAAGGCCAGGATATTGCTGCTAGTAAGATTGCACCTCAATCAACCATTTATCGGATAATCAAGAACTTCAAGGAATGAGGTTCAATTGTTGTGAAGAAGGCATCAGGGCACCCAAGAAAGTCCACCAAGCGCCAGGACCGTGTCCTAAAGTTAATTCAGCTGTGGGATCGGGGCACCACCAGTGCAGAGGTTGCTCAGGAATGGCAGCAGGCAGGTGTGAGTGCATCTGCGTGCAGAGTGAGGCGAAGGCTTTTGGAGGATGGCCTGGTGTCAAGAAGGGCAGCAAAGAAGCCACTTCTCTCCAAGAAAAACATCAGGGACAGACTGATATTCTGTAAAAGTTACAGGGATTGGACTGCTGAGGACTGGGGTAAAGTCATTTT